TCCTGATCTCCAGGGGCTTGCACACCTCCAGGGACCTCCTGATCTCCAGGGACCTCCTGATCTCCAGGGACCTCCTGATCTCCAGGGACCTCCTGATCTCCAGGGACCTCCTGATCTCCAGGGACCTCCTGATCTCCAGGGACCTCCTGATCTCCAGGGGCTTGCACACCTCCAGGGACTCGCACACCTCCAGGGACCTCCTGATCTCCAGGGACCTCCTGATCTCCAGGGGCTTGCACACCTCCAGGGACTCGCACACCTCCAGGGACCTCCTGATCTCCAGGGACCTCCTGATCTCCAGGGACCTCCTGATCTCCAGGGACCTCCTGATCTCCAGGGACCTCCTGATCTCCAGGGACCTCCTGATCTCCAGGGACCTCCTGATCTCCAGGGGCTTGCACACCTCCAGGGACTCGCACACCTCCAGGGACCTCCTGATCTCCAGGGACCTCCTGATCTCCAGGGGCTTGCACACCTCCAGGGACTCGCACACCTCCAGGGACCTCCTGATCTCCAGGGACCTCCTGATCTCCAGGGACCTCCTGATCTCCAGGGACCTCCTGATCTCCAGGGACCTCCTGATCTCCAGGGACCTCCTGATCTCCAGGGACCTCCTGATCTCCAGGGGCTTGCACACCTCCAGGGACTCGCACACCTCCAGGGACCTCCTGATCTCCAGGGACCTCCTGATCTCCAGGGGCTTGCACACCTCCAGGGACTCGCACACCTCCAGGGACCTCCTGATCTCCAGGGACCTCCTGATCTCCAGGGACCTCCTGATCTCCAGGGACCTCCTGATCTCCAGGGACCTCCTGATCTCCAGGGACCTCCTGATCTCCAGGGACCTCCTGATCTCCAGGGGCTTGCACACCTCCAGGGACTCGCACACCTCCAGGGACCTCCTGATCTCCAGGGACCTCCTGATCTCCAGGGGCTTGCACACCTCCAGGGACTCGCACACCTCCAGGGACCTCCTGATCTCCAGGGACCTCCTGATCTCCAGGGACCTCCTGATCTCCAGGGACCTCCTGATCTCCAGGGACCTCCTGATCTCCAGGGACCTCCTGATCTCCAGGGACCTCCTGATCTCCAGGGGCTTGCACACCTCCAGGGACTCGCACACCTCCAGGGACCTCCTGATCTCCAGGGACCTCCTGATCTCCAGGGGCTTGCACACCTGGTGTTAGTTCCCAGAAAATAAAGCTTTGGGAATGTTTCTGCAGCTTCCCAGGGGGGGTGGGTTTGAGGGAAAAAAAGCAGCGGGGAGACCCTAAACAACCCCCCCTCTCCCCCTGGCCCGCTGTCTGGGGAGCAGCGCAGCCACCTTGCAGAAGGGATGAGAGCAAATAGGTTTCCTCCTAGCTCTTGGCTTCATTTTTTTTTTTTTTTTTAATTATTATTATTGTTAGGCTTTCCCCCCTCCGTGCATTTCCATTTTAATTTCTTAGAAACGCTGGGCCTGGTTCACTGCCTGGTTTATGGCTCTGCCTGTGGAGCAGAAGTCAGCCTGAACAGATTTAAAATCTTCCAGGGAACAAGAGAAAACCCAATAGAGATTAGTCCTAAACTAGAAAAAGCTGTAGCAGTACACATAGGAAATGACTGTTAGCATATCTGAGCACATACACCGCTGGGCTATGGGTTGCGCTGGGCTGACTGTCCAGAAATGACAAGCTGGGAAATATGTCCCCGTGTTTCAGCAAGTTCCCAGGACTTAACATTTTAACGTTACTCTGCATTAGAATATGCCTTCTCTGTATTTTTTTTTTTTTTGGGTTGTCGTTTTGTTTTAGCTGGCGATTAGATGGACAGGTTTTAAACAGAACATGTTTCTGGCAGAAAGGACATCATAACAACCCAGGGAACTCTTAAAAGTTGGAGAGACGGTCGTGCTGCCGTGTGCTGCGGAACAGCTGCTGTATTTCACTCCAGAAGCAGCTGTTTTTCGGTGGCTCAGGCACTGAGGTCCCTCTATAGGTGCTTACATTTCTAACCCAAGAGATGAAAGTGCTTTATGTAAACACTATCATTAGTTTTCACAGCTTGTGTAGCCCTGCCTCTTTTTGTTGTTTTTGAATCTTCTGGTTTTGACTGTGTGTTCTGGCAAAGCAGGGATGAAAGCCTTTTGGTTGTTAGTCTGGCCTTCAGGATAAAATATAGCCCGGGCCTGATCCCGCATTCCAGGCATTCCCCAAAATCTTCTTGGCTGCTCTGCAAGTTTTGAGAGTGCACAGAAAGCAGATCTGGCCGGTAACGTGCCTGCAATCTATTTGCCTCTGACAGTCCCCTCTCTTCTTAAAATTACTCTGGTGACATCAAGTGACATTGCTCCTTGTCAAAAGAGAGGGGGCAATAAGTGCGCTGGCTGGTTTCTGCTGAGGCACGTTGCTCACAGCAGTTGTTAGGCGTTTGTTTTTTTCCCTGTCCTTTCAGCCCTTATTCAAATTAGGGTATAGTTCTATTCCCAGTGGAATATATTGATATTTTGACATGTGGCTTCCTATTCTCGCAGCCATTTAAAGAAAGCTTGAACTTTCTCTTTTTTTTTAATAAAAAAGCTTACCAACTGCTTTTGGTGCAGGCTCTTTCCCCGCACGCACAGAGCACGCCAGCTTTTCTTAGAAAAAACCCCACGGTGCAGTCCAGATTTCCCTCACAGCACCATTCCTCAGAAGTTCAAGCTGGAACCACGCAGACATAGCTGGGAGGATGGGAAAGGATCTGAGGGCAAGTCCTCCTTTCTGCCCCACACTTCACAGGGCGCTCCCCAGCTTTTGGTGCAAGATGGAAATGAGCTTCTGGGGTGAATTCTTACTGGAAGCCAATACAAACTTCTGAGAAACAGATTTGTGTTTTCCGTTTCAAAACGGGGAATAGCTCAACTCTGGGACTTCTGCGGGAGGAACTTTCTGTTGACAGAGATTTAAAAAAAAAAAAAAAGTCCTGTGTGTTAGAAATAGTTCCTCTGTTCTGACTCTTCACTTTTACTATAAGAACTGATTATAGGCTAAGGTCACAAAACAGAGCCACTAACCTCTGTTTGAACTTCCTCGTGTTCAGCGTATGTGGGTATTTCATTATCGGTTCAGAGGCAGAGCTGACTGACAGGCCACGCATACCAGGAAAATGTGCAATCTTACTTTTCAGTCCTTCTTTCAACCTGGCTCTACTTCCCCCATGTGCGTATGAAGGAGGAAGCTGTGTGTATCTTTAAGAAATATGGGTTTTCCCCCCCTGTTTCCTGTGAAATATTAATAGATGCCGCCAATGGGATGGAGCTCTTTAAGAGTGTTGTGTAAAATATCTCACTCCGTGTTCGCTGCAGCACTGAGCACATAGACACCTTTTGATTTTTCTCCAGAGAAGGCAAAAACGGTGCAAATTTTGGAGATCAGGCAGCAAGGATGCTCTGTACTAGCAGTGAGAGCCATCCCCTTCCTTGCACCGAACTGGGAGCTATTGACTATTCATGGCAAAGCGTCCAAAGCGCAGCGGCACAGCCTGTGGAAAATGACAGCGTGTAACAAGATTGACTGGCATTTCCTTCGCGCTGGGTCACATGCCTCCTAATTCACACACACACACAAAACCTCATAGGCCGATCAAATGACTTCTATCTCTGCAGTCCGCATACCTTCCACAGAAAGAGTTGTTTTATTATGCACATATACAGCTCTGTTTTCAATCAGTCACCTTGAGCGAATGACTGAGGGCAGTGTTCGCTCCGTCCGGAGGTCTCAGCGTTTGCTCTCTAAGAGGCATAGTCTCCGTCCGTAAGCAATTTATTGTTTTTTGGGGTTTTTTTCCCTCAGGGGGGAGAAAAAAAAAAAAAAGAAAATAAATACGCAGATGTCCCTCCTGCCTTCCCCTCCCCAAAAACCTTTCTAGGAAGTTTGCTTGGCTTAACTGGGAAAGCGCGGGCCGGTCGCCGCTGTCGGCGAGCGTTACGGTGGGCTGCGCTAGGAAGGACGGATTTTGCCCTTGTGCTTCCCGGGGGCTGCAGTGGAATGAAGGCTCACGTGAGTAGGGGCTTGCGGGATGCTGCCCGCTCGCTGCCTCCGCATGGGGAGGTGGTGGTGGGGAACTGGGAGCGCGCAGCTGCTGTGGGTAACGGCAGATTAAGGTGGGGGGGGTCTGTACGAGCCCTCCCAGTTTAGCCGCTGGCAGGAGGTTCAGATCACCCCCACCTCCGTACCCAGAGAGAGAGGAGTATGGAGCGATGAGGTGAAACCAGCCACCAGCTGGCTTGCCAGGACACGGTAATTAGCTCAGCGCAGTGCCAGCCTTATTAAGGGCAGTGCAGGTGATGATGACGTTGGCACACTGATTCATTACATCTGGAGGGGAAAATCCGCCTAGTAAATGCTGAAGCACAGTAAATATTTTTGGCTCCTGACAGATTGATCCTTGCATTATGCTGATTAGCCTATATTTGTGGAACTGAGGAAGTTAAAAATAAGGTTGGTGGAAAGCTACAAGATAAGGAAAGGATTTGCATTTTATGGCCAGCAGCAATAAACTTCTTTTTTTATTTGTTTTTTTTTTTTGGGTGGTAAAAATTTCAACACTTTCTTTTTTTTCTCCCCATTCCCTTCTTTGGCTCTAGGTTTCACTGTTAGGTGAAAGCCCATAATTTATTTTCTCTTGCCAGCAATATTCTGGAAGGGAGCTGTAAATCTAGAGCGCACACAGTTGGGAAATGATTTCTGAAAGAATTCTTTTGCAAATACGTGGTGCAATCCTGCAAAACGCTTCGGCCCTGACAGTCCTTAGGGGGTGGTACAGACGTATCAAAGCGTGTAGCAGCATGTGTACTCAGCGAGACTGGATGCTTTGGACTTTCCTGTGAGCTGGAGGGCTTTACCAGCTTTAGCTCACGGAGATAAATGATTAAACCGACTTCTGACTGTTGCTGTTTTGTTTTCCTACACTCAGGCTCTCACCTGAACTTTCACCGCCTGGTATATGCTGTTGGGATATCCATAAGAGATCGCCCAGGAATGGTGGATCACTTGCTGCCTACTGATGAATCCTTTTCATCGACAAGATCTTCTCTTGGATACTTTGGGGACATGACAGCAGGGGTGAGGTCCTACCAAATGCTGCCCTCTCCCCTCTCGGAAGATGACAGCGACTCGTCCAGCTTTTGTTCTTGTTCCAGCCCTGACTCCCAGGTTCTCAGCTCCAGCTATGGAAGCACGTCCAGCGCGGAAAGTCAGGACAGTATCTTAGACTACTTATTGTCCCAGGCATCTTTGGGGAACACTGCTGCATCATGGTGGGACAAAAGGAGACTTCAGCCCATAGTGAAAGAGGAGTACTTTAGGTTGCCTGAATTTGCCGTGGATATGGAAGACTCAGGACCATTTCAGCCCACGCTTGAGGAAATTGAGGAATTTCTGGAGGAGAACATGGAGCTGGAGCTCAAAGAAAGACCTAAAAGTGAGACCAAGGACTTGAGAGCTTGCAGCCAAGTTTCTGTTGCTTCGTTACAGCAAAAAGACCATATGTTACCCAGTGCTAGTTTAAAAGAGAGTAAAAATGAACAGTTGAGCAGCTCAACGGAAGGTGGCCAAGCTTCAAATGGAGGAATGACCCTGGAGAATGGGATACCGGTTATGCTCCAAATCCAGCCTGTACAGATCAAACAGGAGTCCAACACGAGCCCCAGTTCCCAAGGACCAGCACAAGAGAACATTAAAATTGCACAGCTCCTAGTCAACATCCAAGGACAGACATTTGCCCTTGTGCCTCAGATAGTTCAGTCGTCCAATTTGAACTTGTCCTCTAAATTTGTCCGCATTGCTCCCGTCCCCATCGCCGCCAAGCCAATTGGGCCAGGAGGCATGATCCAGGGTCAGACGGGAATCATCATGGGTCAGAAATTTCAAAAGAACCCTGCAGCAGAACTCATTAAAATGCACAAATGTTCTTTTCCTGGTTGTACCAAGATGTACACGAAAAGCAGCCACTTGAAAGCCCACCTGAGGAGGCATACAGGAGAAAAGCCTTTTGCGTGCACGTGGCCGGGCTGCGGATGGAGGTTAGTATTGGGGTGCAGCACTGTCCAATCCCCTTTCCCCTTTTTGCTCACTTGACCTCCCTTGCCAAGCAAGTAGGTTTGTTCTCTGATTTATAAACTGTTTCTGTTCAAAACTTGTTCGGTTGGTTTGAAAATTAAGACCTTTTTCTTCCTGTTAGGTAGTCCAGGGGCTTTGATAAATTAAATAGCAAAGCATCACCTGCTGGCACCAGCTGTTTAAGTGTCTTAAAAAAAATTAAAAGTAGTCCATGGTAATTTGTATTTCGTTCCAAGAGGGTCAGATTAAGCTCGTTACCGCAGGCAACACCTTGTGTTCACGTCGGTCTGGTTGCAACACACCAGCTGCAGCAGATGCTTGGCTGGTACCAGCTGAGGGCTGGAAGGGAGTTGGATGGTTTAGGGCGGAATCACTGTGCGTGGCTGTTCGTGGCTCCAACCGCGTGGGGCTAAATGTGATCAGTGAAGGGCTGTGACAAGAGAGGGTGGTTAAGAAGAGCAGTTTCGTAGAAAATGCACTCCATCCCACTCCTTCTGGAAATGCTGGCAGTGACACTCCAGCATGCTCTGGGTTTTCGTCTCTGCGTTGATTCAGAAAAATGCGTGGGTGCCACTCAAAGTTGCAAAAAGCTGTCAGATGTAACAACATAACCAGAAGGCTGAGGTGGAGTTAAGCATTGCTTGAATGGAAAGTTGCAGGTTTGATTGAGCAAAACGTTTCACAGAGGCTATCTCTTAATTTTTCTTTTCTATTTTTTTATTATATTTTTAACACTAGTTGAAAAATTAAAATTTTGTTTTAAAAAATCAACTTTTTATTTGAAGGAAACTTTGACAGAAGCCTTCCAATGTCTTTCCAATTAGCTGTATTACTATCCTGCCTGCTGGCAAGAGTTAATATACAGCACCACAAACTATGAGCGGAGAAAACAAAATCTTAACTCCCTTGTATTAAATTAAACCAGATTTCTTTCAAAGAATATCCTGCAGAGCTTCAGCGAGCAATGTCTAATGAGGAAATGGGTTGTGACCGTGGGGAACAGACGAGGTAAAAAGTAACAGGAGAGGGTTGTGTAAAAATGCAAGTATGTGAGACGCGCAGCAGTTAGAGATGGCTGGATTGGTTTGAGGGAAAAGGTCAGAGTGGGGCTGAATCCTCTGCTCCTCAACTGGACCAGTTTGAAATTTACCTCTTGGCGGGATCAAGGAGATCAGTGCAATTCATTTCTTTGGCGATTTTCTTTCCCGTTTCAGTTTGTGGTGGCTTTACAAACTGGTGGTGACTTTCTTTCCTTTTGTACTGGTGGCACTTCTCATGGGCCGGGCTCAGTGGCTTGCTGCTCAGGATGCGTTGAAATTAAAGCCATATTATTTAGCTGATTGGTCCCATAAGCCACAGGCTCATTTGCTTCTGACCTGCAGCAGAGGCACTCGCTCCTTTTTATTTGGTTGCTGGAGTACGTGCGCACAGGCAGCAGATGTGCCTCCTGCCTGTGAACGTGCCTGTGGGTGTCGTGTTGGCTTTCCCTGCGCGGGGATGTGAGCAAAACTCTCATTTTTGTGACAAATGCATGTGGCACGTGAAGGTTTGTCTGATCCACACTGAGATTCATACGAATGCTCCCAGGAATTTTGTAGCTCAAGATCAGAAGTTTGAAGTGTTGCCCGTGGGTGACCTTCTCCAGCTCTGTCTTATTACAGAGCTGGTGTTTCCCCGGGGCTGCAAAACCAAGGGGGATGTTTACAAAAAATATTAAGTGGTAAGGGATGGAGGTTGAGTTTACTCCGGGGTGCCTGCCTCCTCTCAGCGATATGGCGAATGGTGTGGATCACAAGCAGGGTGCAGGTGTGAGGTGGGCCAAGAGACGTGCAGGTCCCACAACAGGGAGCGCCCTGAACCTTCACTCTCAGCCAGCCACAGCTTTTTAAAGATGAGGAGCCTGACAGGGATGAGAAATTAATCACCTTAGCTACGAGGAGCGTGCGTCCTGTCCACAAAGAGCTGCTGGAAGGGATTTTCAAACTCTCTACCACTGTTTGTCCTGTTGCATTTCCCAGCCCAGGCTGGTACCCCAATCCCCAACACCCCCAAACTTTGGAAGGGCCGTGCTCCGAGGGGGGAGGTTTATAGCCAGTGGGAGAGGTAGCGCTTCCTGCACTCGCAGCAATCCTCAGCGCTGGCCAGAGACTCCTGCACATCCCCTACGCGCTGCTCCCACATCAAAGGCCAGACCCAATTGAGCACGGAATTACTCGGTCCCCTTTCATCGATAAAGCATGTTTACCTTTTCCAGGAGTTCAGCGAGAGCTGTGATCTCACATGACTTAAGTTAAATGCATCTGGACTCTCTGTTTGCTCCCAGTTTTATATCATCTCAAATGAATTTAAGCACTAAAACACCACTGGCCTCTGCTTTCCCCCTCCTTTCCGTGCATTCTTGTGCTTGCGTATTTATTTTTTCACTGAAGACACTTAAGATCTGACCTCACTGAAGATAGTAATTTCAAAAACAAAACAAAGTGTTGCCTAGCACGAAGTGGCTGAGCTGTTGGGGGGGGGTGTGTTAAAGCTTTCCCAGCTCTGTCTCGCTGTGGTGAAACTTAACTGCTCCAAGGTAGGGGTGTGCACACCGCAGACCCCTTTGCTAACCCCTGGGACAGCTGGAGAGCCCCAAACGCCTCCCTGGAGGAGGCTGAACCCTGCCTGATCGTGCCCTTCCTCGACACAGGGCGAGAGCTGTTTTCGGCAGGCTGCAGAGAGGCGTTCATAAGTGGCCGGTGACCCGTTGCGTTTAATACCCCGCTGTACCGGTCAACGCGCTGATCCGCGTCGTGCCAGCTTGTACCTTCAGCACACCGCAGCCTCGACCAAAAAAGCCGAGCTGCGGTGGTGGGCCGGTCCCCAGCGGCCGTGTTACAGCACGGAGCAGGAGAAGCTCTGGTTTTCCCTCCTCGGGCGCAGCAGCGGACAAAGCTGGGGTTGTTGTCAGGCCTGGGGGATGAGGCAATCGCGTTCGCATGCCCTGCCACATCGCTGGGCTGCAGGCGCGTCCCCGCAGCTGGCTCTGCAGGTGACAGAGCGCAGTACAAGCTCTGCCTGGTTTGGTGGGGAGGGTTCAAAGGCTTGTAATGCGTGGGGCTGGGAGCACGAATGGGACCGGGCAAGCGTGGGGAGGACTATGTGTTGGATGGATCAGGGCAGGCATCCCATGGTGGTCTTTTTTGCTGGTGGTGTGCAAAGGGGTTTGCAGGTGTGCTGGAGGAGTGCTGGTTTACCATAGCGGTGCTTTGGGAATGGGCGGGATGAATCCAGAGCCTCCCACTCCACTGCGGAGAAGTACAGCCTGAGTCAGTCTCAATGGCTGGTGGCCATGATAGGGACCATGGAGTACTAGGCTGACCTTTCTTGCCCATTGAGCCACATAGCAATGTCCTCGTTTGGCCAGGAGACACAGGACACGTCCTACACATCAGGGAGCTCTAGGATTTGTCTCCAAGCGAGATGCAGTTACAGATCCTTTGGGGTCCCGCTAGATAGAGGGATGAAAGAGAGTCTTCTAGTTGCTGTGGGATTGCCCAGTTCTCTCCACCTTTCTTTTGAAGAAGGAATCCTTCTGGAAATGGCAGTGACTTGGGATAGTGAGGTGTTCCTTGGTGGTCTCTTGTGTTTGTTTGAATTTGGCATTCCACTGGGGATTATTTGCAGTTTTCTTGGGGTGATCTTAGTGCCAGAATGTGCTGCAAATATCATTTCACCGCAGAGCCAGGCGACCAGCTCCTCCCGGCTTCCTTGTCCTAACCTTTGCGTTGTTTTTTTGTAAACACACCGACAGCTCGGGGTTTATTTCTGTGGGCCCTGTAAGTTGATCTTTCTGTGACTGCTGGGGAACAGTATTGCAACATTCCCGCCTCTTCAGCTAAGGACATCGTTATGAGGCAGAGTGTATTTTTATCGGATGAACTCATCCAAGCTTCCAGGGTATGAGTTGAGCTGCTCATTCCTGATATGTGCCTCTTTCTCCCCCACCATCCATGCAATCCCCATTGAAATGCACTTGCAGAGCTCTTGTGCAGGATTAGCCATATGCTACTGCACTTCTGTTGCAGATGGTGACCTTAATGGCCAAGGACATGGGACAAGACAACCTGGCCACATCTGGTTTTACTCCTTCTCTGAGTGATAAGCCTGTATATAAGATGATGGCTCTTTCCAAAGGCGCTTTTCTCTCTCTGCTTCCTCTTTCCCCTGGACATGGTTGCCACCACCGGCAACAGGTCCGTTCCTTGTCCAGTGCTGAGTCCCACTGAGGCAGTCTGCATAGGCAACATCCCACCATCTCCAGAAAGATGCTTAGTCCCACTCATATGTGGCTCTACAAGAGCATCCCTCCAGGGATGCGGCACTGGGACTAACTCACTGCTAAGGACTCAGGAGAAATCCCTTTCCCTGCTGCTCCCAGGTTCAGACTGTGGTTTTGTGAAGCTGTGGCTGGAAGGAACAGGGTTTCTAGAAAAAGCAAATATGCAGGTACGAGGGGTGAAGAGAAAGCCGTGTCGCAGCCTTTGTGAAGAAGACATGTCCCAGGTGAGGAACAGGTTGATGGTTCCATTAGGGCATCTGCCTATTGCTCTTAATGGTGAACTTGACTCTCTCACTATGGGGATACCAAAGCAAGGACAAGGCAGAAAAGCAAGAGAATGGCTGAAGGAACCTCCCCTAGAAATGCCCCTAGGAGAGAAGTCGCCACACCATATCTTACCCATGGCGAGTATCTGCATCTGCTTTGCACTGGCTGCAAAATGCTCTCTGGGTAGCATCACTGGACCGAAGAGCTGTGGGAACTGAGGAACCCATTCCCAGCTTTCCCAACACCTGCGCACTGTTCCTCAACTGGCGGCGGGAGATCAGAGCTAATTAAAACCTTTATGTGGAAACTTATTGTTCTTGCATGAAGGTCTTATTCATAGGAGCCCATTGGTCCTGTTTTCCCCCTTTCATAAAAATAGCGTATTCACTCTGTTGGTGATGTGATATTTTGCTCCAGAAGGGCACATTTTTCTACATGTTCTTTCCCCCATTTATTCAGCTAGTGCCCATGACTTCATTTATTTATTGTAAATAAACAGCTGATATCGTTTCTTGCAAGCTCTCTTTCTGTGCCGCTCTTTGTTACTGCTCTGGCAACAAAACACTTAATTGCCCTTTGTCAGGCAACAAATTTTTTGTACCCATCTGGACAGGGCTGTTTTAGTGTGACATTATTAATTAACCCTGTGGCTCCTAGTCAGGTCCGAGCTGGAAGTAGAGCCAGCCCCCTGTTAAGACCAAGGGATTAGCTGATTTGGGTTCAGTAAAGCCTGTGGGATTCACGGTGGCTGTTGGGGATTCTTCTGTGGAGATGCAATGTGGGAAATATCTAAAATTGAAATTACTCTGGGAGACAATTTTGGTAATTAAAGGCTCAATCTTGATTTCAATTTGCCCATGAAGTAACTATGCTAATGGCCATAGGGGCCCACCTGGCTGTCAGCTGTTAGGATGTTGAGCATCTCTGGTATTGAGATGTTAATGACTCTTTATTTTGCCTGTAGGAGCATGTACAAAAGCCAATTTTTTCAGCTGGGTTTGATACGCGGTGTCACTTCTAGGTAGCTCTGTCTGGCTGTTATCTGGGGTCCATCTCAAACTAGGTGCAATTGCTGGATGTCCGTTGTGCTTGTGGCAGTGGGAGTGTGGGGCAGACCTCGCCTGTGGGATGTTGGTTGTTATCTCTGCTTGAGAATGGTCTGTGCTTGGATTTGCGGGAGAGAGGTTGCGTGTCTGGCTTCGAAGGGGACTGGGAGATGGATCAAGAGCCGTGCTGTTTTAGTTGAGCTGTACCTGTGTTACTGGGTTTTGGGCAAGGTTGGTACAAATGTTGCCTCCATGCACTGCTCTGAGTCCAGAGTTGATGTGGGATGAGGTTGATAACTGTGTTTCCGTCACTGCTGCTGACTGCCAGTTGGGACCAGACCAGGCCTGTTTCGGTCCCTTTTAGTTTGCACATTTGGGCTTTGCCACAAGCGGAGTCTCCCAGTCTCCCCCTCAAAAAGGCCTGAGGGGACTTTTTTCCTGCTGTGAGAGACTTAACAATGTAAAAACCCATTTATCTGAAAATGCTTTTCTTCTCTTGCAGGTTCTCCAGGTCAGATGAGCTGTCCCGGCACAGGCGCTCCCACTCGGGGGTGAAACCTTATCAGTGTCCTGTCTGCGAGAAGAAGTTTGCTCGAAGTGACCACTTGTCCAAACATGTCAAGGTGCATCGGTTCCCACGAAGCAACCGCTCCGTCCGCTCCGTGAACTGATTGGTCCCGCTTTCCCCTTCCCGCCCAGCGATCCTACAGCAGCTGATGCCAGCACTTTGCTCACTATATTTCTAGTGATAATTTATTTGTCTCCACAGAACAGTCAATGCTGTTACTTGATACCACCATGTCTGAATGTCCCATGTCCTTTAAAGATGATTTGAGAATGAAGTTCTTTTTGGGTCAAGGGAGGGGGGTGCTTCTTCCTTTTTGTCCTTTTTTTTTTTTTTTTTTAAGGATGTTATTTTTCTTTCCTTCTATCTTTCCCTCCTTTGCTGCTGCTTCTGTTGGAAATTACAGTGTTTTATTTTTAGCTGTTTTCTGCTGCACAGGAAAATGTAAGAGTTGCTTGCTGCTAGTTAATTATAGCCCTGGCATTCCTAAGGGCTTTGCTCATGTACAGGCCATTCATTGTGAGTTTTTATTAAGCTGCTCTATTTGTCCAGTTTGGAAACAGCAAATTCCTTTTGAACTGAAAACAACTCCTTTGTTTTTGGGTCGCCTGAGCCGAGGATTTGTAGGGGCTGGCCATAGGAGGAGGAACAGTGGGAGTCGGGGACAGGGGGAGGCAAGGCATGAGGAGCACTGGAATGCGCCTCTGTGCCTCTCTGACGTCTCCGGCTCGCGTTTACCTTTTCCTTGGCAAGGGCTATATAAAAATATTTATGTATATATATTCATACATATATATTTAAGGAAAGGCATATCCCAAGCAAACCCGAAAGCTCAGGCAGGATGACATGGCTTGGAGTGGGGCCTTTTGGTGTGGCTGAGCGCGTACCGTGTGCATGCTTCTCCTGTCCTGTGCTGCCGTGGGGGTGAAAGGATGCCCGTGCAGCAAAGGAAACACCGCTTTCCTTTGACTGGTTCACAGCATCCACTGTCTTTAGCAGAAGAGCTGTTGTCTAGTGTGTAAAGCGGCAGGAAGCCATTTGTGAGAAGAGCTGAGCTCTGTGCCTGTCTCTGCTCCTGTCTTCTTGTGGGATCTTGGGGGAGAAACCAGAGCACCGATCCCGGAGGTGCCTGGTGGTCCTGGTGAGCACCGGGCATCCCGAGCATCCACTGCAAATCAACACCTCGCTGGTTGGATCTGGGGCTCTGTCTGTCTGCTGGCTGGCAGGGTCTTGTAGGATGTACCTGCACCCAGGGGAGGGTGGGAGGCGTCATGGCCTAGTGGGATGGCATCATGAGATCTTCTGTCCAAGGGTGATCTTCAGTGCTAATCCTCTTCTTACTGACAGCCATGTCAGAGCTCCATGCAGCTAGGGTGGGCGAATGGGTGAGAACAGTAGCCAAAAGAAACAAATACTTGCAGTAGCTGGCGAAGAAGGGAATTTAAACAAATAATCAGATGGTAGCAGGCAAGTGATTTTGTTTGTGTTTCTTCTTCTTGTTTTGTTTTTCCTTTTGAACTCTGGCAATTGTAAGAAGCTTTAGAAGAAAATAGAATTCAGTAATTAGGAACAATTTTACAATGGATGTTGCATTTCCTTTCCATTTGCAGACGGTATCTGTTTGTCTTTTTGTTGGCAAAATGGGAAATAGGAAACGGCGATTCTAGGGCTAGGCAGAGCAGGAGCCCGCGTTGCGCAAGAACAGCAGGTCTAGCTAAAGCGAATGCATTCCTTTTGTCCTCTAGAAATTAATATAAATGAACTATCATCTATTGACTGGTTTATATCACATCCTATGAATGTATGTAAATAAAACTGTACATAGATGCATATCTATATAAAATATCTTTTAATAACGTATCAAAATTTGTGTAAATTGGAAACAAAAATACCTATAAAGCCAGTGTACATAAGTTACAATTCTGTATATTTTCTTTTGTTCTTCATAAAAATATATTTACTTTGACAATAAAATGAAAATGGAAATTTTAAATCCCTTCTTGAAATTATTATTCATTAATTTCCTTTGTAGCCAGCTCTGTAATCAGGACATTAGCGCTTGAAATTTTGATTCACCTGGACATAACTTTTCAGGTGCTGGGTAACAGGGAGATGATGGGACAGATCTGAAGTTGCTTTCAGAAGTTTTTCTCATCTCAAAGTTCTTGGGAGAAGCGAGATGTTTCAGCTCTCCCTTTGCTGGAGCCCTCACGCCTCGCCTGGCAGCCGCGCTGGGACCCGAATACCTTCTGTGGTTTCTGACCGCTGTGGAACAGGTCTGCAGCTGCAGTAAAACTGTGGTTAATAAACTAGAGCAAGCAGGTTTTGAGGAAATTCAAGCTCTAGTAGCTAGCGTGAAGGAGGAAGGGCTCCAGAGGCTGCTTGAGACTGTGAAGGTGACTCACTGTGTGACCGAGGACAAAGGACTCAATTGCCATGTGCTGCAGTTCCCTTTCTTGTAAAATGGGGATAATAATGCATCATGGTGATACTATGGGACTTAATTTACATTTCTGTGATCCTTGGATGGAAAGAGCCAGCAATAGGACCAGTAGTCACAGAATTAGATGGTGAAAGAAAGGCTCAGCACGGCGGAGGTCTTGGTGCCAAGGCGCTTCAGTTGGCTGTTCTGTAAATCCCATATCTGAAAGAGTGATGTGAAGGATCTGTGGTACGAAGCATGCCTCAGGTGAGGAGAAGACGCCCTGTCCTGCAACAACCATTGCTTCCCATTCGTAACAACAGGGGCATGAACATGATGCCCTTGTGATCTGCAAGTCAGGACATCTCTTGCACTGTGCTTTTGGTTGCTTGGCCTCCACTGGAAGAAGAAACCAGCAACGTTACTAGTGTTAAAATCACTTCTGAGTCTCCATGGGAGCAATGGTGCAGTGCGTCCAAATCTTCTCCCAGCAAGAATCACTCTGAGACTAACGGGCACTTAGGGATTAAAGTCTCTCCCTGATGACCAGCCACCAAAAAATGCCGGCTGATGAGCCAGGGATCTCCAGACCCCTGATTATTTTTCCTAGAGAACCCCTGTCAGTCCAGCAAGAGGACTGAGGGATGTGGCAGAGTAAGTCCTGTTCACTCCAGGTTGTTGTTACCTCCCAAGATGTAGCCTGAAGACCAGAGTCCTAAGGACAGCTGTTTTAAGAGTGCTAGTCGCGTACACACTTTAATTAGCAAGCCTGCACCAAGAGGATCTCCGATTCCCTTCTGTTCTCACCCTATCGACATCATGCATTAAACCAGCTGCTTTATTTTAACCAGCGTCTCGGTCTCCTCCCCATCTCTTCTGGAGTTCTGATATTGCTGTAGCATTGGGCAATTCACCCTGCAAGACACTCGGGGCAGAAGTTGTTGTTTTTCTGCAAGAGGCAATACTTACAGCTGAAGTGGAGTAATGCAAAGTACCTGCTGTTGGAGCACAGCAGTGCAGAAATCTAAGATCTAAGCTATGTTTTGGCCTGGAATATTTTCCATGAAACACTTATTCTCTCTTTCTTTTTTTCTTTTTTTTTTTTCTTTTCTGTTTTAAGTATTGTTTCCAAGTGTGGGTTGTGGGGGTTTTTCTGGCTAATACCTGTGAGGAAATTTAAGATTATGTAAAAGTTGCAACATTTTGCTCAAAAGAGTAGGGCCATGTTTGCTGTGAAAGAAGAGTTAGTTCTGCATGAAAATTAATGACGTTTTCAGAGGTTTGTCACAAAAAAGTAGAAATTTCCAAAAAAAGATTTTGATGTTTGTTTTATATGAAATTACTGGCCTGCCTAGGCTGTGCTGATTCACGAGAAAAATGTGGCCTTGCCTTAAGCCTGATTACCCACCTGAAGATAAATATATATATTTAAGTGCTTTGATGCCACAACTGTAAATTAGTTTATTATGTCCCTGCTTCAGCAACTCTGCATGGCAAAACACAGCATGGCATCGTTTTACGTATGCATAAATCTCATTGACTTAAACCACCTATAACTGAGTTTCTGAGGTGTGAATGGACACGTGTGCAGTGTCAGAGCCTTCACGTAATGATCGTGATCTGTTTCCTAACACTTGCAAGAGCTCTTTAAGTTTCTAAAAGGTATTACTGGCAATTTCTGGCTTTTTATAGTCTCCTTATGAGAGCAAGGGGTGAAGAAACACTGTTATGAAAGGTGAGGAGCCATCAGCTGGGAAGGTTGTACTTGAGGTAAAGACTAAGCATAAGGAATAAAAGTAAAGTGGTGTTTCTGTAAGGTGACCTGACTTCTGTGACCTGTGGCTGAATGCAGAGTAGTGGAGTGATGTGACCGCAGAGCAACGCAGAAGGGAAACGGGAACAGAACCAAGAAGTCCCTAATCTCCTTTGCCCCAGACAGTGGCACAGACCACACATCAATAACACACAGTGGGTTATAGAAGGCAAAGAGTAATAGGACACGTAAGTGAGACACCAGATAAGCAAGGAAAGGTAAAGACGGGGCATGAGATAAAGTCAGGCTGCACTGATAACGTCTACTTTTGGAAAGGATGCCAAGGAGAGAGGAATGAGAGAGCTCACTTGCTGGTGTGTTGCACGTGGGAGTCACCAAGGTAAAACACCCAAAAAAGGGTCCTGGTCCTCTGACCTGTGTTACACGGGGTGCTTTCTCCCCTGGCAGTGTGGGGAGGAGCTCAGGGAGCTGCACCCCTGTGGACAGCAAACCAGCCCATGGAGCAGGATGGTGTGACGAAAGGTGCTGTATCTGGCTGCTCGGAGGAGTGCTGGGGTTTAGCCTCTGCGGTGTTTGCAAGAGTGCCGTGCTTGCCACCCTCCCTGGGGGGTTCTTTCCACTTAAATCCTTCTGCTGGGAGCCTTCTCCTTGTCTAAATGGCCACCATACATTTAATCCAAACAACCAGGTGACACCAGCACAAAGCCAGTGGCAACAAGCCAGTGTTAATGATTACCCCGGGCCCCTTGGGTTATGTAAGCTGGCATGTGCTCTACCACGGGCCCTCGGCTCAGACGAGCCGTCCCCATCTGAGAGAAACACCAAGGACCTGCCAACACACATAGAAAGCTGTTTGGAGCCAGCTGGGATTTTCCTTCTCCCCTTTTGACAGCACCTATGAAACCCGTTA